AAGCCCCTTTATAGCCCCCTTCAAGGAGTTTAGATTATAGCTCACATCAGAGCTACAAGTCTTTCATGATGAGAACCGCATGTCGGAACTTTCTGTGCACTTGTCCGTACATCCGAAACGTGCAAAAGTCAATTCCTCAACTCCTCAGTCCCAATGCCTCAACCAGAAGCATCAACCAATAGAGAAGCTCCATTGTCTCTGCAATTCCTTCATCCCTTCTATTGGCATAGGTAGTGGCTTCTCCTGCCAAAACTCAGACTCGGCCCTCCGTGGCTGTGGAGAGATCCCTGCCCCACAGGGATTCTCAAGGTCTGATAGGTTTAGGGTTTAGGCTTTGGGGTTTAGGTTTTCGGGTTTAGGCTTTCGGGATCTATAGTCCCCCTTAAGTAGATAGAATATGGCTTTGGCTATATTATGACAAGTTCCCCGTATACCCCATATTCGCTCTACTCAAGGGAGACTACAACCCCTAAACCCTAGTCCCTGAACCCCAATCCCTAAACCCTAAACCCTAATCCCTAAACCCTAATCCCTATATACCCCATATTCTACTAAAGGGGGAATATATGTTTAGGAGGACTATAAGCCTAAGGCCGAGGCTTTGAGGTGCAGGTAGCAAATATGAATCATTTAGGAGGACCCCCCACCCTGTAATACTGGTATAGTAGGAATATAAGGAGGCCCTGATATAATCACCATTATCCCTTATGGTAACTATTACTGGGTGGGGGGTCCACCTAATGAATCATTGTCTAAACTCCTGGCATCCCTCTTTATAACCCCTATAGTAGTCCCGTTTCTAATCCCCTACATAATCCCTTTACGGAGTGTGGCCGCTGAGCACATGGGTTCAGATACCTGCTACAGGTTTCTATGCGAAAGCCATGCAAATACCCTGTTCCGCAAGGAAAGCCTAACACTCTGCTGAAACCCCAGGGGTTTTTTATGGAGTTATTTTGGGATAATGTTTGGATGTATTGGGGTTGTTTTGGGATAATGGAAAAGAAAATGGATTCTATTATGGCAGGTTATATTTTTGGGGTTTTATTGGGATAATGGAAAATAGAATGGAAGCTACTATTTAGGGCTTAGGGTTCAGGGCTCAGGATTTTCTCTCAAACATCTACATGGCTACATGGGGCTTAAGGATTCATAAGCTGCGAATGCTGTTCAACCATTTCACAAAGTAAAGTAACCTCTGAACCCTCCTGAACCATCCTGCTTTCCTAGGGAATACGAAGCTTCGTCTTATGATTTTGGTCCACAAATGAGATTGCCTACTGGAACCATAGCTTGAGACTTCAGAGTTAGTCCAGAAATTTGTTCAGCGAGATGCTGTGTGGTGCCTGTTTTTGGGAGGTCTTCCACAAAAACGAAGCCCAAATCTAGACCAATCCGTATAGTAATGGCTCAAAAACGCCTGGACCCATAAGCATGACTCATCACTGGCTCACCCTGCTCTTGCTTTTCGAACGAGCTCGAAGGGTCTGAGGCGCCAGGTCAAGCATCTCAGTTTGTACGGGGCTTTGAGCACAAAAGGTCTTCTATCATTGAGATTTCTCGGACAAGATATCCAAGGTCCACTGCAAGTAGAGAGCGGTCCAAAGCCCTTTGAAAATCCTTACATCACCGCCAGGGTGCTCTGTGCTGAGTGTTTCGAGTCATGCTTGCCACGGCAATGCTACTACGCTACGCCACGGTGCATCAACTGCAGGCCACGGCCTTAAAATCCCTATACCCTAAACCCTAAATCCTAAATAGTAATTTCCATCTTCATTTCCATCATCCCTATCATATCCTTCTAATATCCCCAAACGCTAGACCTCTAGACATGCACCGGCTGTGCAAAGTGCGCTTGGTGGAGGTTGGACATCACCACGATCTTTGGCCTCGCACAGGCCAGACAGAAGGCTGTCTTGGCCCCTCAGGAGGAACGGGGGAGTGGACCCTAAACCCTAAACCCTGAACATTCAACCCCAATGCTACTATCTATGTAGTTCTCTATACCGGTAGCAGTGTTTTCCCCCTTTTCACCAAATGGCATGGCTCCAATGAAGTACTGTTGCTCTTCTTACATGGCTGCCACACCTCAACTCTGAGAGCCAAGCCTTTCCCGTATTTCAGTTTATCAAGAAGCCACACCTTCATGTACCCTCTGCAGAATCTGAATGTATGTTCATTCTTCAGCTCAAATCCCCTGCAAGCCACGACACACACCTAATTTTTAAAACGGCCGTGTCCCCGATAGCTCGATGTATCCCATCAATGAGCGGAATACTCCCACGGAAGCTTCTCTTGTGGCGTTTAATCCTTCGTATCAATGACTCCCTTGTTGACCAAGTTGGGATAAGAATGCACAACAGAATGAACAACAGTAGGACCTCAAGCCAGTTCGCAAAGCTGAAACTGGAAATCTGAAAACATGAGCCCTGAATCTCAAACGGTTGATCCCTGAAAGACAAACAACAGCACAGCCAAGAAACTACTAACCTTCTGCGATCAAAGTGACCAGCGATTCAAATTGAGATCATATGCTGAATCGCTGTGAGAACGAACTCGTGATATATGAAACCCCAATTCCAAAAGCCACAAAACCAAAAAAACATTGCCAATAGCAGCCGGGCGCATCTCAGAGATAGCTTGGCCGAGCTCAATACTCTTCCAAATGCCAACATTGAAGACCTCGTGTGCCACAGTCTAAACTCCTAGCATCCCCCTCAGTAACCCCTAGAATACTCCTCTATATAATCCCATATAACCCCACTTTAAGAAGTTTACACTATAGCTCAGCTCTCATGACTCCACCGCTTTGCACGAAGATCCCGTTTTGGGGTGTTAGATTGGGAGCTTCGGATAGAGCCTGGTAATAATAAGCGTAAAATACTAGTACTAATAATAATGGTAATAGTAGTTATAACAATAGTAGCAATCGTGCTTGTTGTGTGAGGTAAAGCAGCAGCCCTTAAGAGCCCGTTGCCCGGGTGCGTACCACCATGCCTGGTAGCCTAGACTGTGGCTATGCAGCTTGGGAGGTGAGTGGGCAGAAGGCCATACGCACTTGTAATTGTAAATAAGAATGGTAATAGTAGAGGATGCGGCTCTCAAAATGACGAAGCATTCGTAGTGGACATCGTGTCAGTATAGAAGGGGTAGAAGGGGTACAGTGAACTGCTTCAGTTGGTCTAGGGAATGATGTGTGGTTTAGGGTTTAGGATTTAGGGTTTGGGGTACAGTAGCATGTGGACCACGCTGTGCAATTGCCAGATCTTTTTCAAACCTATGTGAAGTTTAGGGTCAGCCTTTTGCAGCAGCCACATTAGAGCAGCCACGTTTGAGCAGTGTGATTTAAAAGATTTCAAGAATAGAGGAACCTGACTGAGCTACGGCAAGTTCAGACAGAAAAACACCATTGCCTGGAGTTCTCATCCACATGACACATGTAGCTCGGATGAGTCCAGGGGAGCTTAAGGACAAGGACTCCGTGAATCGCTGCATCGCGCCGTGCACAAGTTTACCTGTCCTTTAGATTCTGACCACACGGATTCGTTTGCAGCATTCATATGAGCTATAGTCTAAACTCCTAGTATCCCCCTTAATAACCCTTATAGTAGTCCCCTATATACTCCTTGTATAGTCCCCCTTGAAGGGGAGTTTAGACTATGGCTCATATCAGGTCTAGGCTTGTTCCAGACGGGGACCTGTTCCTTTCTTGAAGAATTCACATCCTTTCCAACCAAGTTTATCTGCCATTTCTGTGGAATGGATTATGCAAGCGGCCCCAAAGCTGACAGACTGTTTGATGGGTTCATGGTAAAAAGAAAATGGAAACAACTATAGTATATTGGGGTTGTATAGGGATAATGGGAAAAGAAAGTGCAAACTACTATAGTATGTTGGGGTTGTATAGGGATAATGGGAAAAGAAAACGGAAACTACTATATTGTAATAGTGTGATATGATGCGTGCTTCAAAGTGTGGTGTGGGGTTGTCAATCTGACATTAGCTGCCACAAGCTTTCTAAGCCAACAACCTTAGAGGAGAGACTTTTCACACATGAGCTTGCACCAGGTCTGCAGTTTGTGACTTGTCGTGAATCCCAGAGAGCCCAATACCCGTGAATTAAGGAATATACCTAAATGGCACTAGGTTCCCTAATATGATTTAAGCTATATTCCTTAAATAAGGGGTATAGGGCTGCCTGGGAGTCCACTGATTCTGGGATCCTGTTCGGATTGCGTGGGCTTTGCGTGTGCGAGGAATACTTACCATCAGGATCGTAGGCCGCTGGAGGTTGTACAACAGACTGCTTTTGAGGCTTGTTCGAGGCTTCAGCCGCTTCCAGGCAGTCAATCTTTTTCGCATTCAGGGCACAAGCCCCCAACAGGCAATATCAAACGTCTTCTTAGTCCCTAAAACTTGTTGACCCTGAGCGCAGTCCTCCTTAACTATATTGGGGTTATACAGGCATAATGGAAAACTAAATGGAAACTACCACATTATCGGATTATATTGGGCTTATGTTGGGGTGGCCTTTGAAGCTGGGAACAGCTACTTGTCTGCCCATCTTCAGCAATACGCCTTTCACGACAGAATTTTTGGTGGGTTGAAGGTCCAAATGGGTGGTTGTTAAAATTATGGTCCCTTTTTGGGTAGCCCTCAATCTTAGGTGCCGTACTATCATAGGGATCCAAAAAGGGACCATAATTTTGACAACCATCCAAATTTTGGGTATAGTGGGTTTACAGCCATCTGATTTTGAAGAACTTTTCCATCCTGAACCTGATACATCGCTGTCACGCAGCGGGCACGGCACTCAGAATCCGACCCTGTCTGAAGGCTCTGCAAGACTGCCTTTCCGAATACTCGGCACATCAATATGGGGTTTCCAATCATTGGTGATTCCTGGTTGAAGATGTCTAGAATACAGAGGATTCTACCACTTCGCAGTCTATGTTGCGGCCTACCCTTTCGGAACCGCCAAAACTAATACCTGACCATATCTAGTATTCAATCGCTCGCCAAGTGGCGTTGATGGTCTCCGCCGGTTGCTTGCCGGTAGCCTCCCTAAACCAGTAGGCGCGTCCGTTGGGGAAGTAAGCCGCGTCACCGGCCTGCCCCCATCCCCAAAGGTTCAGGCATGAGGATTCAGATTCGGGAATCGTATGCAATGAATGGAAAGGAAACCGTGAGGTTGTGGACCAGCTTTGTCACGACCAGTACGGGTGCAGGTACTGAGTGAGTTTGAACGCTGTCACTCAACAAGGCAGAACTGCCTTACTATTCAAGTCACAAAGCGGTCAGGTCTTAATCCAAGGCCTTCAAGGTCTCGTTCGCAAACTCCAGGTGAGCCTCTTTGCCCAGGATGCCACCCTCCAATGACACTGTGACGGTCCCAGATATTACCATGAAGAAGGAATCCGCTGTTGTCCAAACCACAGGGCGGACAGCCCCGGGTGCTAGCTCTGTACGCTCCTGGGTTGCAGTTAAGGAACTTAAATTAAGCTACCATAATGGGTGTGTATATATGTATGATAATTAACACGGTTTTGCGGATAAGGTTTCTCGAATATAGTAACTCAAATCAAATTCCTTAACAGCAGCCCAGGCTCTTGGGACATGGTGCGGGAAAAGGGAAACTGATCTGTTCGAATACGGTACAAAGAAACCCCAGCCGCCCCGGGAAGCTGCACGCGCTGTTCGACGATCGATTGGACAGCTGCAGGCGCTCCAGTAGTTTCATGGATCGGTGGGCACTCAGGATCACACGCACCTGGAGCCACGGCTGTCACAATGGGAGCCGTCATGTTTCTGTTGCTGTAGTGGATGGAGTGTTGCGCTCTTCCAAATGCTGGCCTTGAAGCCTCATAGGTGGCCAGCGAAATCCCAAGGGCCGCGGCTGCCACGTCATTGTCTGCTTGAGCCAAGGTGGTGTCAAGGTTGTGGCCATTGGGCTCTGCAGCTTGGGGAGATGCGAAGACAATCGTGAACTCGCAGCCCCCTTCTTCCTCGGGAGTAACGCACATCAGGCCGTGCAGCCAGCTGGCCGGAAAGTACCATACGCCACGAGGCTCCAAGATGTTGGTGGAGCTTGGCCACGGCAGCCCATCTGGGCTGGACACAAAAGTCATAAGACGCCCTTTGCTGACGAAGCCCCATTCGTCAGCCTGGTTATGCCAGTGAATCATCCGAGTGGCACCCTTGCACATGTTGGTGAAATGGGCTCCTGCGTGACACTTTTAGGTTCCCACAGGAAACAAAACCCTAAACCCAAGACCCTAATCCTCGAACCCTAAACCCTAATCCCGAAACCCTACATATATATATATATGTGCCTATTTATTTATATTGCACACTGCCTGACGACCCCGGCACAGCAAATACATTTATTTAGAATCGCCTATATAACCCCCTTTAAGGCAAATCATCATCCCAAAGTGCAAAAGTGCCGCCTAGGCTCCCGTCATCTGTGCCTGGCCATGGGCCCAAGCACAAGGGTCATTGAAGCGAACTTCTGCACCACCCATCTCTTTGCAAATTTCGGGGAAGTAGTCATTGGGCTTCTCTTGAGACATCCTGTAGACATAGGTAGCCGGTCCTACCTGGCCACAGTCCCCAGCCCTTGGAATGGGAACATCGGTGGTTCCCGGTGGCAGGAACTGGGCTAAAGTGCTTGTAGGATAGAGTGCCAAGGCACAAATGGCCACCAGCAAGCGCGGCATGCTGCCCATGCCCCCAAGCCCCTTTCTGTCTGAAACTGCTTCGGAAGATCTTCACTCTCTTGCACACAGCTGAATGAAACACAGCTGGACCTTCAAGTCTACGGGAATGTCTTGCTCATGCTTGCTTGGTCGCATGCGGACATAAGTTATGCTGACTGTCATGCGGTTGTAATGGGGCGCAGATGGATCCATTCACTGATTCCCACTAAACCATGCATAATCTGGTAGCTTCCATTTTGCCCATTCCTAAGTGAGCATGAGCAAAATGAGAGAGAATGGCCTCTGTGTCCAGGACCATCGTGGGAGGAACCCATTCCTCCATTTGCAATATACTATAATCTGTTATAATATATTAGAACCTATTATAGTATATTGTAATACATTGTGACATACTATAATATAGTATAATAGACTATAATATACTATAATGGATTATAGTATATTATAGATGATAGTATATTGTAATATATTCTAATATACTAAAACATACTAAAAAAATATACTATGATATATGATAATATCTTAGAATATATTATCATATACTGACCAAAAAGCTAAGGCCAAGGTGTGCAGGGTACTAACCAGTAAGAGCAGGATGTAGAGTTTGGGGCCCTCATGGGGAACATGCCATGTCAGGCAGCAACCGGTGTTTCGAATAAGGAAAACACATAACAACTTGTTTCAATTAGGCTCAAAGCTCAAACAGACAGAGCCAAAACAGCACCGGAGCACGACATGTGGCATACTTTTTGCGGTCTGGGCACAACAGAACCCATGTAGCAAACAGCAGCATGAAACTGTCTCTTTACCGAATACAGCTCAAAACTGCGATACATACAGTTTCTGAGACAAACATGCTTTAGCAAGACCTTCTTTTATGTGCCTTCGCTTGCTGCCTCGTCCATAGCAAAACAGCAGACAAAAGCGAAAGCGGCAACGGCAGAAGGCTGGACTGAACAGGGCAATCAGTCGCTTCAATAGGTTGTTTGAAGATACATGCTGCCTGTTTCAGGCTAAGCTGTCTGGGCGCCATCTCCATTCTTCCTCTTCGCTGGCGATGGCGAAGCCTACCATGTTTTTGCCAAACCCAAGCTGCATAGCACTGCACTAGTATCCGTGGGCAGAGTAAAGGAGGCTCACTGACTGCGGTCAGGCTAGCATCAGATGTCACCAAACTGTTCATGCACTGTGTTCTGACTTGTGCATCTGCATGGCCTAGCTGGCACTTTGTACATGCACGGATACCCTGGCAGAGCCATACGCAAGCCCTTGCAAAATGGTGAGCACAAACTGGTCTGCGTTTCTGCGACTGCCACATTTTCTAAGCAGACACGGCGGGCACAAGAGCTGGCAAGCCATGCATCTGCGCCAGCAGTTTGAAAAGACTGCACAGTGAAGAACTGTCATTCGGCGAGTCATTGAGTCATTCAGGCTTCCATGCTTGTAGGGCCTTTTCAAGAACACACCCTGAAACAGCCTTCAAGTTAGCAGTTGAAAATAGTTTCGGACCACCAGAGGGTCCTGGCATCCTGAGAAGCATATCACGACAAACTCAGGACGCCGAATCTTCGCTTGTTAGAACATTGCGTTCCTCCTTCGCACTTTCAGGCACAGGATGCTCAGCCTGTCACAACACCTCACAGCATTGCGCAGCCCGCGTTGTAACCATCCGCTCAAAGGAAGGCAAGGGCAGATGGCAGAAACCATGCAGCAGGACCTTCGTGCTTGTGAAGAGAAACCCATGTTTCTTGGGCTCAGGGCACTAAAAGTGCAGCGGACGCACAACCGCGGGCACAAGCTGAGAAGCGCAAAGCAAGACATTTGCTGTCAGAGGTGTGTCCGTCCTCACAAGAAATGCATGTGAGACACGTTGGCATACTTCAGAAGGGCTTTAAGTGACCCATGCTTAGTCCACAAAATGCGAATCCTCAGGGACTCTAGCGGCTTGAATGTTCTCGAGAACGTGGGCACAAGCTGCGCTTCAGCCTCCGCAGCTGAACACTTTCATCTAATGCTCTGAGATGACCACACTTTACGCAATTTACGATGTAGCGTGGTTTTAGGATTTAAGCTTTAGGGATTCGGGTCTTTAGGGTTTTGCATCTAGGGTCAGGAAGCACATCTTCCATGGCTGATGACATTAACCACCTGGCCCATGCAGCAGGCAACTGGAGCTAGAAGCTGTTTTATGAAGGCTTTGAGGTTTAGGGAGGTTTTGTGTTTGGACTGGGCGGTTGGACTCTGGAGTTTCCTGCTGGGCTTTATCAAATTGTGGCTAAAGGAGTGGGCCTGCAAGTGGCAAAAAACTTTCTGCTTTAGCTCCCAATTTGGGCCCAACCTGGGCTTCCAGTGTCGAAGCTTCTGCCTTAAGGTTTCAGGCCTTGGGGTCTAAACTTCATGCTTTCACAGGGCCTTAGAGTCTTCGATGGAATTCTGAACCCCGAACCGTGTCGAACGACTGAAAAGCACAGACCATCCACAAACTCCTCGAGGTCAGCGTGGCTCCTAATCTGCCAAGGCGAGCTGAGAAAGGCAGGGAGGAACCCCGGCATTTTTGGGACCTTCTGTGCGGCTTACACCTTCCAGGATATCTGAAGATTCGAGACTTCCTAACAGGTTCGATCAGGGTCAGGGTTTCAGGGCTCCTGAAGGCTTGCAGGCTTTTGAAAGGTCTGGACATTGGCGCCGGGAAGCGGGTCGGGACTTCTGTTTGACGGCACCGAAAGAGGCGCCACAATTCAGGCCAGATGCTTTCGGAATGTCTGGTCTATGAGTCCCAAAGAATTGCACACTTCCAGGGTTCCCTCTCTGAAGGGTGGCCCTGGTAGAAATTCCAGATTTCTGCCTTATGCGGGCTTCGCAGGCACTATTGACATTTCCCTGGCCACGAAAAGAGCGACGGAAGAGTAAACAAGCTACACGGCTCAGCCGGAGACCACTATGTGCTTTCTTGAGTCTCGAAGATCGACATTGACCAGCTGGACACCAGAGCTCTTGCGTCATGGCTGCAGGCAAATTGGCAGAAGAGGCTCCCGCCAGAGCCCTTCGGCCCTTCGGGCACTGGCTCTGGCATCTCCATCAAAGGGGGTAGACACTGCACCGAGGCCAATTTCAGGCCAGCCTGTGGCCACTTGTACACAGATCATCACCGCCAGGTGCGCATGGCAAACTGCGTGGTCCAGGAGAACATGATGGCCCTCGCAAGCGAATTCCCTGGCTTTGGGGTAGACGAACGTCATGCGGTCAGCGCCAGGATGCCTCAAGCTCAGAAACAACCTGTGAACATTCGCGGAATGAGTCGAGACTTGGAAGCCCCCGAAAGCTGCACAGCAGGAGTCTTCAGAGTCGACTGTGCGACTGCCAAAGCTGTTGGGCGGCTTGCGCTGGAGAGCCCCCGAGACCACGAAGGTTCTGTGGGGTAGACTCAGACATTGCCCTGCGCGTGGCCCACGCTTGAAAATGCAAAGCTTGCAGATGACTTTGGCAAAAACAAGATGTAGATGTTTCAAGTTGCCCCAATGAGGCGAATGCGAACCAGCCCTACACCAAGCGCATGCCCCTGCTGTACACAATGCAGCAAACCCGTGTATGTACATAGCACACGGAGTGGAGTGCAGTTCCTTTGCCTTCAGAATGAAGTCACGACTCAGCATAGCTAGCACTCATCTTACATCGCTATCACACACTTGGAACGTACCCATTTTGGACACTACCACGTGCAACACTTCTGACATCCCGGCACAGGTACGTAATGGTTCACTGATAACGTTGGGACACACGCAATCAGAATTGCACCCTGTGCGTCTGGACGTTTGAGATGCTTGCGCGGCCCGCTGTTGCAGCTGCTGCAGCAAGCGAGGGCAGGACGTGGGCTTGCGTGGTACCACGCGGCAGTAGCAATAGTCCCAGTACCTTGCAAAACAGGTGACTGTCTGCTGGCGAAAGGAAAACACGAAGCCAGCAGGCATGTCAACCTCCTCACACTGAGTCCTCTTCTCAGGCCTCCATACATGGACTATAATATGCTCATCTTGGAATAAGCTACCACATCAGCTGCTGAGCAGGCTTTGGCTTTCAACTCAGTCGGCCAAGTCGCCATCGCCCAAGCCACGACAGGTTTTGCAGCATGGCCGTAGCCCAGGCTCAGGAGATAAAGTTAGATCGCTACCTTTCTGTTTAGGCCTTGGGGTAAAGCGTTCAGGCAAGTAGGTGCTTGGTCCAAAGAGTCTGGACAACTATTTTGCACGCATGGGATGAATAGGCTTCCAAAATGATGCTGGCCGTCCTCCACCATTTGCTTCGATTTGACTATGTAGAGTCTTCTTCTAGAATATGCCATGCTGCAGATGTGGATTGAGGTATGCACTCAAGGCTCCAGCTAGCCTCATGCGGACCGGACGGAAGAGGCAGAAAGCCTTCCACACCGTGCTGGGATCTGGCAGTGGCACCCGTGAGGAAGCTCTGCCCTGAGTTTGGCTACTGAGTTTCCTTCTCTTACGCTTGTTCAAACAGACCAGCTCCTGCAAGAGACTTCAGTTGCCGCCATGAACGGGAGCGAGCCCAGTGGCATTGGCATCATAGGCATCATCTACTCCTCCAGTCCCTACTAAGAACGAGCAGGTAACAGAGTCCTGGCATCCAGGTTTTAAGCTTCCTGGGGTTTTAAGCCTCCGGGCTTCCGAACATGCGCTAGGTGACTATCGACTGCCATGGATGGGAACACGTCAATATGGCCCATATCTCCATAAACTCATGTTGGGGGTTTACCAACATAGGGGAACAGCTCGAAACCGGTCCTGATCTACACGCTCTGGAGGGAACCTTGGGTCCACACATATAAGGTCTGGAACGCT